TCTATATACAATATATTATATAACAAAACTATACTTTTTCCAAGGATTTACAAACCTCTCATTGTTCTCCATACGTATGAGCATTACAAAATACAGAGTTTTTTTTAGTAATTCATGCTCTTATATTTACTATTAAATAAATTGTTCAGCTTGTGGGTTTTTAAAAAAAAAAAAAAACAAACCATCTTAGAACAGTGCCAGATAAAGGTTATAGAGACCTAAATAAGAATATCTCAGGGCACTGGTTTATATTACACATCATGCTGACTGTTGGATGGTGTTTGTGTAAACTCTTTTCACTTAACCGTGTCTTCCCACCCTTGTGCATGTAACTCGTCTCTGCAGCTGGTCTAACACGAATTATCTCCACGTGCACCAGCCCACGTTTAATGTTTCATTAGGCCGATTGCTTCTGTACGAGTGCCAACTGGTGCATGATTCCGTGGACAAATGGAGTGTGTAGATATGTGCATGTTTCTGCCCACTCAATTCACCACACACGCATGAGAAAATAAATCTAGTGCATTATCACAGAGCTTTTGTAATAATAGAGAAGTTTGCTAGGCAGAATACTGTTAAAACAGATTTTAACTTATGGGGTGTTTCCCAGAGGCAAACTTGATAACTCAAATGACAGCCACTATAGCTTTGCCAGCTATAATATTCTCTCATATTGGCTTTGCATGAAAGGTAGTAAGATTTTATCATGAGCTGTTAGTGGATTCACCTCTCCCCAGTTACGATCATAATTGCACTGCTGGGGAAATCCGTGGAAAATGAGCAACCTGGTCTAGTGGAAGGTGTCCCTGCCCATGGCAGGGGGGTTGGAACTAGGTGATCTTTAAGGTCCCTTCCAACCCAAACCATTCGGTGATTCTATGAAACATTTCCTTCTGTGGGACAGAAGGAATTTCATTATACTTCATCTTCCTGAGCTATCCCTTCCCATCAACTATCAACCTGAATTCATACAAACACCAACACATTTTTTTTCTTTATTTGTAAAAGCAGAGCCAGGTTTCTGGGGGAAGCCTAGCTGAAATGATACAGGTCCTAGAAGTTGATCATTATCGTTAAACTATGTCACTACTTAAAATATTAAATATAGTACTGTCCTAGAGCGTGGTTGAACTCAGTAATGAATCCTATGAGCACAGTTTATCACATCCACATCATTTCCATCAGCTTTCCAGCAGTGGGAATTATCCTGTGCTCTGAGTCTTCTTAATATTCAGATATGCACGGCCAAACAATTAATACTGTCTGTTGTCCTTCTTTGCTAGCCAAGAACAGCATTGTCCAGGGCTTGGAGAACGTGGAAGCCGTGGAGGGAGGGGAAGCCCTGTTTGAATGCTATCTTTCCAAGCCCGAGTGCTACAACTACAACTGGCTGATCAATGATGAACCTGCCAAAACTACAGAAAACATTGAGATGGTTTACTTTGAAAATGGACGCAGGCATCTGCTGCTGCTGAAGAACCTAACTCCCCGGGATACCTGCAGGGTGACTTTCATGTGCAGTGACGCGGTGACCTCAGCCTTCCTGACGGTGAAAGGTACCTGAAGCACTCGCGCATGGGCAGTCTTAAATTTCTGGTTGGAAAGGGCAGATGAAGCAGGAAAATAGGATGAGTAGCAGAAAGTTGCATTTCTTGCTTGCTTCTTACCTAAATCTTCCTCCCACAAAGTAAATGGATGGTGTTTCAGTTTCCTTTTTTTCCTGGTTCCATTTGCCATGACATGGATATAAGCATCATCAATTGGCAAGGAGTTAGCAGCAAATGACTGTCTTACAGTTGCCGTTAGTCTGGTGACTTGGGTTGTGTTTATAGGCACTTCAGGGCTTTAGAGACGAGAGTTATATCAGTAACAATATTATTTCCTCACTCTTGTATTTTATGCTATTACTGAGACCCTTGTGGGGACCAGAACCCCTTTCAGGGTACAACAGCATGCTCAGTCATAGCATGGTATCTCCATTGTGGTTTTCTGCTACTTGGGAATGAAAAAATATTTCTAGGTTGTTTTTTGCCGCTGAAATTTTTGGAAAATTTCAGTCCTCAGTGATACCTTCTGTTCTAGTGATATACATAACCTCCCTTTTACTAATATCCTTGGTCCTTGAGGCCTGACTGTCCCGAGCTTCAGCATAAATATTCACAGAATCTCTTGCTTGTATTTGTTTCTGTAACTGAGGGCTTGATTACCTATTTTTATCTCCAGGATGGCGGCTACAGATCTTGCAGCCTCTCACGGATGTGGAAGTCTCTCCGGGAGAAAAAGCTACATTTAGCTGCATTCTAAGTGAAGCTGTGCCAATTACTGAAGTTGCCTGGTATAGTAATGACGCAGAGATCCATTCGGATGAGGACTGGGAGGTACAAGCAGATGGAAACAAATACAAACTTATTCTGAAAAAAGCCCAACCGCATCATTCTGGGGAGGTGACCTTTGCTTCCAGGGAAGCAATTGTATCAGCCAAGTTATCTGTGATAGGTAAGTGTCCGTTGTTCTAGCACAGTGGCACTTGATATCTCAGACTGCGTAATTGAGGTGCCACATTGAATTTTCCAGTCTTTGTACTGATTCTTTTCTCTTTGCCTTGTGTGTCCCAAGCGAGCGTTCTTAGTCTGAGAAGATGCTGCTGGGCAACATGTTCTTTGACCAGAAACAGTTCACCTCATCAGAAGAAAATTATATCAGGCTAGTGATGGTAAAGTCATTCACCAGCTTTCTTTAGCTGCAGCCTTTTGTAAAATATAACATAGAATGTAATGGAAATCAATTTAGTCACGGTTCAACATCACCCTTATGTCCAAATGTGGATGTGTGAGGGAGCTGAGTTAGAGTGCACATGGAGAAATTATCCATGGCAGCAGAGAAGACTTGGAAAACTTATCGTACTCAATTACAGGGCAACTAGTTTACCAGATTAATGATCTGCATATTAAAATCTTCATGCATGTGAGATCCAAGAAACACCCGCCTTGAGCTTGATATACAAGAGTGAGTAGCGCTTGGAGTACTTTGCAAGTAGAAAAGATGACAGTTGCCCGATTCTTTCATGGGGCAGGTTAGACCAGTGACTCGTAAAGGTCCATCCAAGCACCCAAGGTCTGGCTCCTTCCCACAGTAGGATAGGTGGGTCACCCTACACTCCCAGGTGCCCACCAAAGTCGTTCTATCACTCCCTTCCACAGCAGGGCAGGGGAGAAAAAATATAAATGTTCATGTGTCTAGATAAAGACAGGAAGAGATCATTCACCAATTACCATCACAGGCAAAACAGACTTGGCTTAGGGGACATAAATTTAATTTATTACCCATCAAATCAGAGTAACATAGTGAGAAATAAACCCAAACTTTAAAAAACCTTCCCCTCACCCCTCCACTTTTCCCAGGCTCAGCTTTGCTTCCCATTTTTCTACCTCTGCCCCCTGACTGGCTTCCCACAGGGTCACAGCCTCCTTTTAGGCATCCCCCTGCTCTGGCATGGGGTCCTCCCCGGGTTGCAGGTGGGTCTCTGCTCCGCCATGACCCTCCATGGCTGCAGGGTGCAGCTGGCCTCACCATAGTCTGTACCATGGACTGCCTGGAGTCTTTTTGTCTCCCTCTCAAATACGTTGTCGCAGAGATACTACCACCATTGCTGATGGGCTCAGCCTTGGCCAGCGGGTGGGGCCATCTTGGACCCGGCCGGCCCTGGGT